AAAATGGAATTACAGTATAGTCTGGGAAACACAGATGATGAGCAAAGTTCTATTTTACATTATAATAAAAGCCAAGAAATGTGCAAATGTTAATTTGGATATCTAGGGAAATGCTAACATTTTTATATCAAATGCCTCAAAAATTATTTAGATACAAGGTCGAGAATTCTGAAATATATTTTAAAATACTTCCATATAATTAAAAGCAAGCCACATTTTTTTTGCCCAAAAATCAAGCTTTTGTGGCTGGGGATATAGTTCAGTGGTAGAGCATTTGCCCAACATGTGTAAGGCCCTGAGTTGGATCCCTACTGCAAAACAAAACAAACAAACAAAAAAAAATCAAGCTTTTAATAACATTTGTACAGAGCTGGTGGAGTGGCTTAAGCCGTAAAGTGCTCTTGAGTTCAATCCCCAGTAGCACCAGACAAAAAAAAAAAGCTGAAAGAACATCTGTCTCATTTTAAAAGATATAGCTTTCAAGGAAATAACAGTCTAAGAAAGATTTGGTGGGAGTATGGAGGGAAGAGACCACAGCTAGAAGCCCAAAATAAGTCTTAGTGTTAGGGGGAAAAAAAATGCAGTAGACCTTAACATCAAGACCTATTTCATTCAATGAAAACTAATTCAGTGATTTTCTTCTCAGTGAGTTCAATACAATCATTTGGTTTTGTAATGCCCAACAATGAAACCAATCATATTATGGTAAATGCTCTTTAATTGTTTTCAAGTCTTCGAATAATTTACAGAGCAGAAAACAATCAGTTATAGCTAAAATAACAAATGTCATATACTTATAACAAAATAACCAAAAAATTAAGAGATGCAAAGGCTGGGTAAATATTATGAGTATGTTGAATTTATCTTTCACAATAGGGAAGAAACAGATCATGTTTAAAGTTGATTAAATAAGAGATACTTTTGAAATTAAAACAATAATCACTAGAAAATTTAAAACACGAACTGCCAACAGTGGTTACTTATAGAACCCAAAGGAAGGAATTTCACTCACTGCCATAAATTCAATTTCTTGTGAACGATGTACATGTGCTACTCTTACAATTTAGAAAACTGTATGTTTATGACTTAAAAACAAATTTTCTGGGCTAGAGACATGACACAAGTGGTACAAGCATGGCACAAGCATCTGCCTAGCAAACATAAAACCCTGAATTCAAATCCCAGTTCCACCACCCAAAAACAAATTTCTATGCTTAAAAATGTAAATATACAATTTTAGACATTTAAAAGATCATATATATATATATATAGTTAGAGATCTTTCATTAGCATATATATCACTTCTGTCAGTTGTATAGCATTCCATTATACAAATGCACTGTATTCATCCAATTCCTCTATGAAGAATGCTTTTATAATTCATGCAACATCTAAGTACATTGAATTCCTAACAGAGCCAATCCCACTGGGCACTGGTGATAAAGAATTGAGCAAAGTCCTTGATCTGACAAGTCCAGTTTGGGGGAGCAGGGGGAAGGTGAGACAAAGTATGTCAGCTGGTGATAAGACTAAAAAGAAAAATAAAGCAGGGCCTAAGAGCTCGATAATGGTGGGCAGGCAGGGAGGAGATGCTATTTTATACAGTGTGGTCAGGGTGGGTCTCTCTAACAGGGTTTAAGCAAAGAGCTGAGGGAGCAGGGGGCATGCTCATTTAGGGGAAGAATGGTAATACAACAACAGCAAATGTAAAGGCCCTGGGGTGAAAACATGGCAGGTAGTATCTGAATTAAGGTCACCAGTATGAATGGAATCTGGAAAGAAAAGGAGACTAGTAAGAGATGGGACAGAAAGGACAAACCATGCAAAGCCATTTTTGAAGAGCTTACCAAAAGAGTGGTATGGTTAGACTGTGTTTCAATTTGATCACTGTACTTTGTTGAGAAATAATTTCAAAGAAACAAAGATAGAAGCAAGGAGTTCAGTTAAAAGACCAAAATTTCAGTGCGAGACAATGGTTTAGATTGGAGCAGCAGTAGTGAAGATAATTAAGTAGAATTCTGAACATCAGGCAAAATCAGTAAGATTTACTGATGGTTTTAAATTTGGTGTAAAATACAGAGAAAAGACAAGAATGATACCAGATTGTTAGCCTGGAACAGAAGGTTAAGAGTTGACAATTATGGGATGTGAAAAGCTGAGAGAAAAACAAGTTTTAGGAGACAATTTGAAGAGTTCAGTTACGGACATTTTAAATCTGACATGCTTGCTGGACAGGAAAAGATGATGAATGAAAGCAACTGACTATGCAGATCTGGAATTCAGGGCAAAGATCTGACTACAGATATAAATTCAGAAGTTCTCTGCATACAGGTGATAGATTTTAGTAACAAAGAAACTAGATGAGATTAGTAGCAAGGAATCTGAAGTCTAAGTCCTAGGACATTCCAGTGTTTAGAGATGGGACAGTAAGGAACCATGAAAGAGTAGAAACTAACCAAAACTCATGTGCTAAAAGAAGGGAATGCTCAACTACAGCTAATGATACATATTGGATGAGCTCAAGAACTCATCACTGAATTTAATCATGTGGAAATCACATCCTTTGGAACAGTGGTAGAGGAAAATTGCCTCCAGACTTTTGCAATTATAAGTAATACCTCAATAAATATCTTCGCAGTTTTATGGAATAGAATTCCTGGACCCTTATTACATGAAATATATTACTAATTTGCCCAAATGACTACATCAATTAATTTCTACTCAGTATAAAGCTATGCATATCTCTGAACAATCACCTACACTGAGAATTATCTAATTTATTCATTTACATTTTTTAAATTTATTTTTGACAGTACTAGGGTTTGAACTCAGGGTTTTAGCACTTGCTAGGTACATGCTCTGTCACTTGACCTACACCTCCAGCCCCAATTTATTAATCTTTGTCAATTAAATAGGTCAAAAATGTTATCTTTGGCTGGCGGCATGGCTCAAGTGGTAGAGCAGCTACCTATTAAGTAAGCGCAAAGCCCTGAGTTCAAATCCCCTTACCCCCAGAAAACAAGTGTTATTATGTTTTATTTCACATTTATATATGGCCTAAGTTGAGCTTTTTTTTAGTTATTTTGCTTTTTCTTTCCCATAAAGCTGACTTTGCCTATTTTTCTAAAAAAAAAAAAAAAAAAGCTTATCTTTAGCTATTGATTAACATTATTTGTTGTATATTTAAAGTGACCCTTTTACTTTTTTCCTTTCTTTATATTAATTATTTTATATCCTGGCAAGAACTGCTGAGAAACAGAGAACCAGAACTCCATCAAAACATTTAGCCTTTGGTTTTTACACTGTTTACACATTTCTTCTTCATACAAGATCATTCTTTCCTGCTCTGTGAGAGAACCACCCAGTTAGAACATCTGCAGCTCCTCTGACTGCCCAAACTGATAGGACTGAGGACATGGTCCTCATATGTACCCACCCCAAGCTTGCAGGCTCATACTTTTTACATCAAGGAACAAAGTTCTTGCTAATAAAAATCCTGTGTATTTAACTATGTGCCCATCACATAGTTGGCACTCAGTAAATATATGTGGGGTAAACAAAGGGAATTCCCCTCAAGTGAAAAGGATATAGGTTTTAAGGGAAAAAGGGACAAAAGGATAGTCTCCTTACCATCTAAGGTTTTGCCTAGGAAAGTTATATCTAAGATGAAGACTGAACAAAGACCAGTGAATAATAAATACACAGTGGCTCAAATTGTACTACAGAGAAACACTGCAACTGTTCTAGATTGCCCTCAGACCCACCTAATATTATATTGGGGAAGTCTCCCATTTTTAAGTTATGTATACTTCTTTCTTTGTCACTCTGGTATAAAACTATACTGTCTTCACACAGGAAGTTTCCCCATTCCTTGGATCAACAATTCCACAGTTTTTTGTTTTTTTTTTTTTAGAAGTCCTATCTCTTTCTTAAGATAAAGCTACAATAACTATAAGAAAGTATTCTAAACAATGCACAATTATTTCCTACCCAGCTAATTATTTTATTATTTTTACTTCCTTTCCATAAGACAATTCACAATTTTCACTGCCTTTCCAAATGCAGCTGTGCATGGGTTAATGACTCACAGAAAAATCTACAGAGGAAACTTTAATTATAACTGGAGAAAGTGAAACAGTAAGGGGAAAAAATTCAATCAGTGGTGATTTCAATCCTAGAACAGGACCCTAAAATACAGAAGAATAGGGCAATGGAGCTTTTTCTTACTTTGTGGCACCCTTGGCAAAAACAGGTACTTGGTAGGGCACAGAAACCAAGAAAGGCAACAACTTTTAATTCAAGTTCACACTGTAATTTGGCAAATTAAAATGGACTCAAACTTTTATTTATTTAAGCAGTATTAGGGGTTGATCCCTCCCACCTGCCTCATGGGACTGGGGTCTGAATTCAGGGAGTCACCCTTGCCAAGCAGGTGCTCTACCACTTGTGTCCCATCTCCAGTCCTTGGGGTTGAATTCAGCGCCTCGTACTTGCTAAGCAGGAATCTACCACTTGAACCAGGCTGCCAGCCTGAAGTCAATTATTTAAATACTTGTTTCTTTAAAAAGGAAGAAAGAAGCTGAAAGAATCAAACAGACAGCCAAATCTGGAAAACGTAATTATACTAAATATGCCAAAGGAGTAAGAAGGCAAGTGTGCGGGAAGCCCACAAATTACACAGGAAGAATGCCTCTGTAGAATGCCTACCTACATATTAAAATGTTACTGACTTTGGATATTTTTATTTTTAACCATACAACCTTTTGGTTGTAATGGAATTTAATTTATATTTTACTTTTTTGTCAACATATAATTATACTTTCTTTCCCATTGTGTGCTCAGACTCTGACAAAATAGTCTCCAGAGTTTCAACTAACAGAGATGAAGTGAAAGCACAATACCCTGAGAAGTGGTATACAATGAAAAATGTCTATTGAAATAATCCAACTTCATCAAAAAGCTCCAGACAAGCATCTGAATAAATTTGGCCTTATACTTACGGAAACAAAAGTAAAGCAGAGGCCAGCTCCCCTTTGTGCTAACTGCTCTGTGTCAAGCCGAGGTTTTGCTAGCATCACTGACATGAGGGTTGGCAGAGCAGACTGCTCCTCTGAGGCTTCCTTTGCAACACTGCCATCTAAACCATACAGGGACTGCTCTACTCGCCGCTGGAAAACATGAAAACACACAGATTACATGAGAAGGACAATCTGATACTGCCAAAATGTGCAACAATATAGTTATAGAATCCAAGATAAATGATTTAAAAAAAAACTTTTCTGAAAACAATTATAGAGAAAGAACATAACATTATCACCGGATAATCACCTATCTAAAAACCTGAGTAAATAACTCACTCAAATGCCATGCAATGATATTCTAATTATTTTGTATTTACATAACTCTGAATTTACAGATGACTCTATGGTGTTGAATGAATCCACTTCATAATACTCTCAATCCTACACAACAAATTAAGTTAAGAATTAAGACAACTGAAATATTTCTTCATAGATAGACTTTATTTCCCACTCAAGTCTATCCTTACTATACTATACCCTGCATACAAAAAAATCTAAAATAAATGCAAGCAAAACGAGCATAGGATAGTAAATGAACAATATACCACAATTATGTATAGTTTAGTCTAAAAATGTAACGATGGTTAAACATTAGCAAATCTAATAATGTAATTCATTAATACTGGCGGCGGGGAATCATGATTCATCCCTTTGGATGCCAAAAAAAATTGTATACTGTGGTCAATTTTTTAAAAACTGGAAGTATTACATTTAATACCTCCAAGAATATTTTCCCCAAAAAACAAATATTTTGGAGATCCTTTCTTTAAAGTTAGGAACAAGACAGTATGGCTAACACATTAATACATTCCATTTTTAGATTTTTTTAGAATTTTATTTTTGTTTTTGAGATGGGTCACACAATGTACCCAGGCTAGCCTCAAACTTGGGGTCCCCATCCTCCCAAGTGCTGAGATTACAAGTGTGTGCCACCATGCTTAGCTACATTCAACACTATTATACACATTTTAGCCAATGTGATAACAGAGAAAATATGAAGTATAAACACTGGAGAATATTAAAAAGTGTCATTTTTGGATGATATAAATATTCACAAAGGAAACCAAGCAAATCAACTGAAAAACTACTGTAACAGTAAGAAACTCCACTAAGGTAACCAAATACAAAATAAATACACAAAAAGTCAATAGCCTTCCTATACATCAACAACTAAATATAATCAGAGCATGTAATGGAAGAAAAAGCAGGTTCAAAACAGAAAACCAGTAAAATAGTAAGTAAACCTAAGAAATATGAAGGGCACATGTAAAGAAAACTATACAGATTCATAGATGAATATAAAAGATGATCTAAATTAAATAAATATTGATGCCATGTTACTAATTCAAGTTGTACCATTATCAAATTTCTCTAAAGAACCATTGTTTATAAAATTTGTTTATATTGCCTTTTGCCTTCCAAAGTGGGAGTGTCACAGTGTTACAGTGTAATATAGCTCCTCTCTCACGCTCTTTTGGGAAATTGTTTTGGTGGAATATCACTATTTCTAAGCTTCACTTGGAAAAATAATGAAAATTAGCCAGATACATTTTTGCTAAAAAATACCACAGAAACCTGAGTATATGTCAAAACATACTACAAAACTATATTAGCTCTCAAATGCCTCTAACGCCAGCACTTATGAGACTAAAGCAAGGGAATTACAAGAGTGAGGCCAGCCTGGACAAGACTCCATGTAAAACAACAACAACAACAACAGCAGCAACAAAAAATAATAATAAGGAAAAAAACCCCTACAGAGTCACAGACTAGAGAATTCAGAAATGGTCCACAAAATACAATACAAATACATAATTTGTGATTAAACACAGGAGTAGAAATTTATTTAAAAGATTGTAGGATATTTGTAAAGGTATTAGGAAAAATAATTATTAGGAAATGTATATTCCTATCTTTTATCATATATAAATATTTTAAGGAGAAAACATAAACAAATGCTTTTATAACTTTTTAGTGGTGTAAGCCTTAAAACATGACATTAAAAATATAAACTAGTGCTGGGAGCCCAATGACTCACACCTGTGATCCTACCTACTAAAGAAGTTGAGATTAAGATATCGCTCTGAGGCCAGCTCAGGCAAATAGTTCATGAAACTCTATCTCCAAAAATTAGTGGAACAAAATGAACTGAGGTGTGGCTCAAGCAACAGAGTGCCTGTTTTGCAAGTGCAAAGCCTTGAGTTCAAACTCCAGTCTCACAAAGAGGCCCTGAGTTCAATACCTAACACAAACAAATCTGTGTTTTGTGCATGTATGTATAAACCATATAGGAGCATTTGTGAGTAACACAAATTCCATATTCATAAAGGAAAAACTCATCAATTTGACTACGTTAAATATTTTTACTTCTGAATGATAAAAGTCAACATAAAGTTATGAGATCATAAATGGTCTTAAATTATGAGTCAGCAATCTTAGTAACGTGCTCCTACTCAACAGGAAGAAAAAATTAATATTCTGAGAGAAATAGGCAAAAGACCTAAATGCACTGTAAAAGAGAAGAGAAAGATGCTTAATACCACTAGTGAAGAAATGAAAGTTAAAACAAGGCATTACTCTCATTGGCAAAGATTATAAAGATAAAATTCAGTATTCGTAGGGTATATAAAAACTGGGAATCACAAACTGCAAATAACCAAGCAATTTATGCAATGACTTTTAAAAATGAGCATACTCTTTGACTTGGGCTTACCATTCAGGAATTTATCTAAAGGGAAAAACTGCCTAAGAACATAAGTATATTCCAAGGCATTCATTATTGTACTATTTATAAATACAAATATTTACAGGATATTGACTAAGTAGATTTATCCAACTAAAATGAGGGAAACTAATATATAGACATATATATATTCAAAAAAGATCTACACATCTCTTGCCACTGTACTCTTTAGTAATAGTTCGTTTGGAGGGGATTTTCTATTTTATGATTTGTGAATTTCTAACTTTTATAATCTTCAGGTGCCTCTTTATCAGGAAAAATGACTTAATTTTTTTTTTTTTTTTTTAAAGACCAGGTTGGTCCTGCCTCAACCTCCAGAGTGCTGAGATTAGAGATATGCAACCCCATGTTCAGCTTGACTAAACCCATCTGTCTGGATCATTTTGATTGGTTTTATTTTACTCTTATTTTCTACAATGAAAAAGTTAAGTAGTCAGGCATGGTTGCACATGTTATAATACCAGCACTTGGACAGCCAAGACCAAGAGGATTCTTAAGTTCCAGGCCAGCTATCTAGCAAGATCCTGTTACAAAAACAAACAAACTCATCCCCAAAAAAAAGAATTCAGCCTTTGAGTCTGTGAGTAGAGTGCTCCTCAAGAACAATGCCCCAACCCCACCTAATATAAGAGCTTAAATTCCCACCCCTGAATACTTAGAATACAAATTCACCAAAGTATGCCTGCTCACTATCTGGTGAATGTGTATCTCTAAAGCCACGATACTAAAGCTCTCAAATATTCAATAAATATCTGCCAAAAACTAAAACATTTTAAAGCATTTCTGGAAATATGGCAAGCTAAGATGTTTGAGTGAACATTTCCTTGGAAAGTAACTATAAAGATAGGATAAAATATTTTAAAAGGTCATTAAAAACATCAGATTTGAGAAAAGACAGGGAATCGGGGCAAGATCTAAGGGAAATCAGTAGCATAAAACAAGTTTAAAAAAAAAAAAAAGCCCAAAGTGTGAAGATAAATGCCCATAATCTCAGGACTCACGAAACTGAGGCAGGAGGATCATGAGTTTGAGGCCAGATTGGGTTAAATAGTGAGACCTATTTCAAAAAAAGAAAAAGCAAGGGAAAAAAAGAAGAAGAAAAATAAAAAAAGAAGAACCAAAATCAAAGACCACCAGGGTAGAAGGTTCAATAGGAAACTCTTTCCATTTGAAGCTGAGCCTCCAATGTAATGCGGCCAGGGAAAGGGTAAACTAGAAGAAAAATTACCTCTATCCTCAAGGGGCTGTAAGTTTCTAGGGGTCAGAGGCTAAAAAATGTTAGGGCAATCCAAATCAATCCCCCCAACTCCCCATCCTTTTTCTTTTTTGCTATGTAGCCCTGGCTGGCCTGCAACCCTAGATCCTCTAGCTTTTGCCTCCTGAGTGCTGGGATTATAGATCATGCACTTCTTGATAAGTGGACAAAAACACAAAATATTTGCCATAAATTCAGTAAAGCAGTATCAGAGAGGTAAAATCTCAAGAGAGATTTTTATCTAGAGGTAAAATCACTAGAGAAAGAATCAAGTAACAAATAAAAATTCTCCCCGGAAGAACATATCTTTGGGCTGGCAATATTGCATAGTGGTTTAGCACTTGCCTAGCATTCATACGACCCTGGGTTCTATCCCTAGCACCCACCCACCCCCAAAAAAAGCAGTCACAAGAAAAAAGCAGATACCCTCAAAGAAACAACAGGTTAAGTTAAAGCTAATTTCTTAATAGCAAAAATGGAAGCCATAAAATAAAAATGATAAACTACTCAATTATGTTAAAAGAAAAAATGTCAATCTACACATATACACAGAAAGAAAAAACTTTCAAGAATAAGAAAAATAGTTTTTTCATAAATCTGGAGTTAAATCCTAACAGATATATTCTAAAGGAATACTTCAAGCAGATAGAAAGTGGTACTAAGTGGAAGGTATAAGATGCAGTAGGAAAGTGGTTCAAAGAAAAGAGATAATATGCACATAAAGCTAAATGAACAGCGTAGCATAAAACAATAATGCTTTCAGAGACTTTTTAAAAGGCAAATTAAAAAGTCCCCTATCACCACCATGTTAGTCGCAGGATAAATTAGTGCTCTGAGGCCACCATCTGATAATTCTGAAAATGGTACTAAACTATGGTCATTAAATATGCGTATGACAATTTTTGTTTTGTGTTTAGAGACAAGCAAGGTTTCCCTACATAGCCCAGGCTGATCTAGAACTAAAGATCCTCCTACTTCTGTTTTCTGAGTGCTGAAATTAGTGCTAAGATTGCAAAATGGGTGATACGATGCCCATCTTCCATATCGTAATTTCTAAGAAAAACATCAAAGAGGGACTAGCTACTGGTATTGGAAGAAAATATGAACTAATTAAACAAACCAAAAATAAAATCAATCTAAATGAAAGAAAAATGATCATAGGACATAGAAAATACACTAAAAGATGATCTATCTAAACCTAACATAAAGATAATTCTATTAAATGCAGATGAGTAAATGTGTAAGTTAAAAAAAAAAAGATTTTTAGACTGAATTAAGAAAATAATCTAACTTGATATGCTCCAGAAATCCACAGAAAATATGGTAAGAAAAATTTGCAGGTGTAAGAATGGAAATATTTACACCACAGAATGGTTCTGATATATTAAATATCGGATGAACCACAAAGAAAAGAGCTTCAAAGAAATAAAGAGTTACTATAATCCTCGCAATTTGGGAGGCTGAGAACAGGAGGATCTTGGTGTGAGGTCAGTGTGAGCAAAAAGATGGCAAGATCCCCATCTCAACCAATAGCTAGGCATGGTGGCACGTGCCAGTCATCTCAAGCTATGCGGGAGGCTGAGATGGTGAGGATCATGGTTCCAGGCCAGCTCAGGCAAAAAGTTAGTCAGATCCCATCTCAACAAACAAGTTGTGTGTGGTGGAGCATGGCTGTCATCCTAGCTATACAAAAGGCATAAATAGGAGGATCACATGGTCCAAGTCCATGCAAAACCCCAAAACCCTATCCAAAGAACATAATTAAAGCAAAAAAGACTGAGAGTGTGGCTCAAATAGTAGAATGACTCCCTAGCAAGTGCAAAGACCTAAATTCAAACCCCAGTACCACCAAAAAATAACACTAGTTTTATGTAATAAACAGCAGTGAGTAAAACACAGCAAAGTGCCTTCTCTCATGGTATTAATATTCTAGTAGGGAAGGTGGGCAATGAATTAGTTACATCTTTAAGACTAGAATACACAAAGTATTAAATGAAATATATTAGCTATACCAAAACACCAATGGCAATGAATGATCTACAATGAATACGACAATATGGATAAATCTTATAAAAGTAATGTTGAATGAAGGGAGCCAAACACAGAGTACTTGGAACATGGTTTATTTTACACAAAACACAAAACAGAGAAAAATGTATCTGTGCTGTTAGAGATCAGGATAGTGGCTAACCCTGGTGGCAGAGAGGGGGCTAAGAATGGAAAGAAGCACAATGGGGATATCTGCACCGCTGGCAATACTTGGTTTCTTATACTAGTACAGCCTGTGAGAACTCATACTGTCAATTTATACTGCATGTATACCCTTCTGTAAGTGTAAATATGAATCAAAAAAATTTAAGTACATATCAAAATGTCTGTGTGTGCGTGTGTGTGTGTGTGTGTGAGAGAGAGAGAGAGAGAGAGAGAAAGAGAGAGAGAGAACTAAGAATTAAAATAAGATTAGAGTAAGAAGGTATAAAGTGCTGTTTTAGAGAAGCTAGCCAGGGAACCCACTCTGTTAAAGTCATTTATTTTTTTTTTTTAAGAACTGATTTGCCATGCAAATCTTCTTTGTATTATTCTAATTTTAGTGTACATGCTGCTGAAGTTACAGTTAAAGTCATTTCTGAGCATCAACCTGCCAAAGAGATTGCTAATATCTGGAAAAGAATGTTTCTGGAAGAGGGAATAGTGTGACAAAGGCCCTGAAGCAGTACAGTGCTTCACAGTACTCAAGGAGGCCTGTGTGGCTGTCTCGCATGGCCCAGAGGCAGATGGGAGCACAGGTCACACAGGAGAAACTAGGCCATGTGAGGAGTTAGGTAAAGGAAGTCACCAAACAGTTTTGAGCACAGGAGTGGCAGGATGAGGCTTAATTTTCTAACCATCACCCAGGCTATGAAATTGGGACTATGTAAGATAAGGGCAAAAGCAGGGAGACTATGCTGGAAGCTAATGCAGAGATCCAGGAAAATAGAAAGTGGTCAAATTCTAATATATATTAAAGAAAAAGGAAGATTTTCTGATGAATTATACTTTTGGGGCATGAGTCATGATCTGAAAAACCGGATGGAGTAAATTGCCATTACCAAGACATGGCAAACGACAGGAAAAGCAGTTTGTAATTTTTTTTTATGAGAGATAAACAAGAGCTCTTTTTCTGATGTTAAAGTTCAAGCTATGAATTAGATATATAAGTGGAAATATCAAGTAGATACATAATTATCAAGGGGACCAGAACTCAAGTGAAGGGTAAACAAGTTTATTCATTCAAATAGGCATACATGCATACTGATACAAAAGATACCTATCTGCATCAGGTGATTCAGGAATTATCGACTGTGACACTACTAACATTTTGAGTTCACTAGTTCTGTTTTAGGGTGCTGTCCCAGCTTGTAGCATGTTTACCAGCATCCCTGGTCTCTGCCCAGCATTTCAAGCAGCATGGCAGATCTTGTGCAGGAGCAGGTAGAAGTTCATTCTGACTGGTTCTTTCTCAATAGAACAAAAAAGCAAGGCCATTAGCTGAATTAGAAGTGCTATGGGAGTTTTTCAGGAGATTAACCAAAATATGAAATTTTCATTGAGGAAAGGAACTAAGTAGAAACACAGCAGGACTGGTAGGCAGTTAGAGATACATATAGAGCTAATAGTCATGAACATAAAGTAAGATCAGTTGGCTTGAGTGTGAGCTGCTTAAAGGCAGACAAAGAAAAGGTAGAGAATTAGAGTTAACCAGAGCTGCATTGTTTTTTACGAAAACAGGATGGTGAGAGAGTGGAGAAAGAGAATTGTGTTATATACACAAATCAGCAACTACAACAGTACAGTTTGGTGCAACAGAAGAAACTGAGGTCTGGTTCCTATTCAATACTAACACACGCTTGTATATGCATAATGATGATGAGGCTTAGTCATAGTCATACAGCTGAGAGAAAATGTCTACAGGTCACTGACTTCATCTCTTTTGTCTTTGGGGAAGAGTCAACCTAAACTGATACATGATAGATGGTGGCACTATTAAAAACAAAAAGACAGGATTTCAAAGAAGAAAAGAGTGATACAATATTAAGAAAGTCTACAAAATGTATTTGTGCCAAATAATCTGTAATCTCATTTAATATTTTTTAACTTAACTGGTTTAAACCCTAGGAAAATAGAGACACTAACCTCCTCAACAGTTACCTAAGAAGCTTCAATTTACTCGAGCAGATATATACTAACATTTTTTAAAGTATGGCAAGTGGGAAAAAATAATACTAAAAAAATCCTGGGTTCTCTGGAAATTAACTTGTAGTTTCCTAAGTTTGTTACTAATTATAGTCATCCCAATGCATGCATGTTTGTATGAGCTAGTGGCGGAAGTACATTTCAGAATGCTTTAACAATGCAAAGACCTAAGTCACTTAGGAAGAGGGCAGTATTATCCAAAGAGAAACGCCTTTCCTAGACAAACAGAGATCTAGGATGAAAATTCTCCATGCAGTCAACTTCAATCCTTAAGATCCCGCACAGTGCAATACCTATGGCGTTAGGGACAGAGGACCCAGTGTAGAGGTCTGGATTTGTATCAACAAATTATTCAAAGGTCCTGGAGCAAATTAACACAAATCTGGCACTGGCTAGCTCAGGAATTATCAGCCTCAGCATTCTGACAACTGAATCAGGTAATTCTTTGTTGTAAGAGGACTGCCCTAATTGTAGGATGTTTAACCAGCATCATTGGCCTCTGCCCAGAAGATGCCTATCGCACCCATCCCTTCATTTCCTACTTGTGACAATCAAAATCACTCCAAATATTGACAAATGTCCCAAGAGGCATAACTGCCCCTAGTTTTAAAACCTGGAGATCTCACTTAAAGACTAGAAACAAACCAATCTCAAATGTATAGAGAATTAGCTTTTCTACTCCATAACTGAGTAAGCCCTGGAGGTAATTTGAATACCAGGAGCTAACCAAATTTTAAAAAGGAAAAAAATAAGCTATAGAAATGTATACATTTGGCAAATACTACTGAGCTACACAGGCTCAGAGACATTTCATTATACTGACAGAACAGGGTTAGCTCTTGTACAAAGTTCGCTTGCTGCTACAGATTTGAAACTAAGTAAGTAATTCACAGGCAATACTATAAAGTTTTCTCCCTCAAGCCTCATTCCCCATGAGTAATTAAAGGAAGAGAAAATGCTTGAGTGTTCCTGGGCTTCTGGTCTCCTATAACAGGTGCCAAATTTCTCCAGGTGAATGCTTACCGGTAAGGGATTGGATAAGGAATGTTGCGGTGAGGATCGTGCAACTGGTGGAACACTTCTGCCAGGGCTGGTTCCTGGCCCGCTTCCCCCAGCAAACTGGCCAACAGGGAAAAATGGATATGAATAATTCAAACAGTACTATGCTTCAGATAAGGAGAGTAAAAGATTAATACACAAACAGGTCTTAATTATACATGGCCCTTTTAATTCAGTACATCTTTGATTCTAGAGCAAAAAATGCCATGTAAGCCAAATTCTACTATCTTTTCAATGAGATTTTAAAGAACAAGCTCCCACAGAAATGTACCAAGATACACAGAAAACATGAGCAGAAAGCTGAAAGTACACATGGTTTTGAAAGGACATGAAAGAAGAATGTTTTGCCTTTTTATCTCAAAATACACAAAGCAGATACAGTGGTATAGTGGTGTTAGCTGTCTTTAACAACTATTAACAATGGGTCACTGAGCTCAATACATGTTCCTCTGCACTAAGTGAAGAGGATAAAAGAAGAGCATTGCACCTTAATCTTTGAAAGACACAAAGCCTAGTCTGGCCAAGAGAAAAAAACACCTCGTGTGAATTCTTATATCATCACAGACAAGACACGTAATAAACAAATTTAAATTTAGCAAGTCAGCAGCACTTTCCTCTTATTAAGAGATGAGGCCTCATTAAGTTGATGAAGATGGGAAGAAAAAGGGGGAAATCACAGTATAGGCAAAATATTGTTTTCTAATACCTTAAATTAACACAAGGATTTTAAGTTTTAAAAAATTCACTGCAGATTTTTTTCCCCCAAAATTTAACTTACCTCAAAGTAATCACTAATTTTATGTCCCCTAGGAGTGCCTTTTCCTGGAAATGAAACCAAAGTAAGTACAGTTTTTCCAACACACATGTAAACCATCATCACCGAAAAATATTATATATTCAGTAACTGCATATATTGCTATAAACTCAAGTGCTGGCTTTACTTTCAACAAATGAGCCAAAACACCTATACTCTTAAGAACAGACTGCTTCCTCCATATAATCAGTGACTAAACAAACAGTGAAAGGAAGAATTCTTCAAAGCTTGTTTTAAGATTCAATAATCTTTCTTTTACAGATACACTAACAAAATATATGCCGAAGCTGGGAAACAAAATAAAACTCATCTATAATCCACATCATAAATAAAGAGTTAATTCTATGTCAAACAAAACTTTATATGACTATGTCACACTGAGAGAATTTTCCTTCAAAAGACTGAATGAGTTATCTATAAATTTTCTAAGATAGAATAATGTAAAAAATTGGGACTTCATTCCTTAGAACAGAAGGGGAAAAATGCCAAGCCATTTATTCTTTCTTTGAGTATATATTTGACATTATAACCATCATCTTTATAGATTTATTCCAGTGGGCTGATGTTCAATTAAATAATTGCCATGTAACAACAGCAATATAAATGAAACCATTTCTGGCTACCACTACTAATAAACTGATCTTATCTAAGCCATAGTTAAGACTACAATGTACTCTCTTTTCCATATAGTTTCTGTTTGCTTTGGAGAAAAACCTGGTAAGACCATTAAAGTACAAAAGGGAAAACCAGAGTCCCCAAAGAACCGACAGTATTTTGTTAGGTGTATATCAAATGGCAAGTCTGTAATAAATAGCCTGATATTCCCTTAAATAATACAAGCCTTCTCCATTAGGAACCCCTGTATACAAAGTAATTATTTACTGTGAGTTCAACAATTCTAGGTAGGTAAGAATTCAGAACTTTCATTGATGAGAAATTATTACTACCTTGGCTAGTTTCATATGGTTCAGCTTTTCTTTTCCGATTTCGCTGGTCATTCTGCTTTTTCTCAGGAGTCTGTTAAATACCACATACATCACGGTTAGTATTTTGGTAAATTTTTCAAAGTAGGAAAATAGAGCATGTGCAAAATATCAAATATATTGAGAGAGAGAGAGACAGAGAGAGATGCTAGCACAGGCACCATCAGTGTCCTGCTCTTAGGACAGAGAAAAAGAAAAAATACAGGGCTGAGAGAGTGGCAGAATGCCAACTAGCAAGTGTGAGTTCAAACCTCAGTACCGCCAAAAAGAAAAAATACAGAGTCTAGAACCAAACCTTCTATGTAATTTTGGAAAATTGTTTAAAATATCACACCTTCAATTTATTGATCTGTAAATAAAGAGTTGCCACAAAGTTAAATAAGATATTTTTCTGGGCATGGTGATGCAGGCCTACGATCCCAACACTTGGGAGGCTGAGGCAAGTTTGAGGCCAGCCTGAGCTACATCGTGATCCCAGCAAGTAGAAGGTAGAGGAGTATAGTAGTCTGAAGCCCAGCCAAGCAAAAGTCAGAGACTCTAGCTAAAAAACAAACTTAAAAAAGCAAATGGGGGCATGGCTCAAGTGGTACAGTGCTTAGGCAAGGCCTTGAATTCAATCCCCTGAACCACCAACCACCCCCCCAAAAAAAAAAAAATTCTTCAAACTATTACTAAATGACCAATGACCTACTCTGCTGACATACTGACATCTGTTAAAATTCAAGGATGCTTAACCTAATTCAGCTACAACTACAAATCTCTGACCATTACTAATGGCAACTATGCCCCTCCCCAATAAAAGATGAGTCCTATATATGATTATAATAATAAAAACCCACTGGGACATGATGGCTGTACAGATATAAACAGCATACAACTCAAAGGAGAGCCATTCACAGACTAGTAGTGCCCCTGGAGGTATACGCGTGCTAACTTTTAATCCAGACTAAAAGTGTAGAAATACACAGCACTTACCTCTACTTCTTTATCACTCAAAGACCCCACACTGCACAAGCTCTGATTGGAAGACTCACTATTGAGTGGCCCCTGGAAAGAAAAATTTTAAGAATCAAAAGACATTTTAATTTAAAATGATAGCAAAACTGAGAAAGAAGCCTACTGATTCTGATGTCCAAGTCAGGTCAGAGAAGCCAAGCAAGAAGTAACTCCAAACAAACTTGAAAAGAACTCAGCTACAGTACTGTGTCCTTAATGTCAAAATTCTCTAGCTATTTCTGAGGCAGGTTAGATAAATGAGGAAACAGGGAAATTATATTTATTATTCTAAAAAATATTAAAAGGGTCAGACACAGACATTAGAACCAGTCAAGTAGCTTAGCTCCTCTACCTTTTAGGTATTAAAAGAACAGAAGACAAAAAGGGGCTACCTGCATCATCTGCCTTCTCCTTTGAGAAGTTAAGAAGCTATAAATTAATGGTTAAACACTAATGGAATGGTTAGACAAAAATCTGGCAAAGGAAAGTCTTAAACTCACCTATTGTCCTTTCGGTGGGCAAGATCACATCTCCATGTTTTAAAATAAGAAACAGCACCCATCTTAGCCACCTAGAACCACTGTCTAATGGCTGGGGTGCAGGGAATGCTGTAAGACCACATGACCATGTGTACTCTCCCAGCTTATAAAGGTCACAGATAAGAACCATCATTTTACATCTTTACTCTCACTTGCTATGTGGAGAGCAGGAAATGTTCATCATTTTTTTTCCCTACTTTATCCTGTTATACTAAAATTCTTACTAAAACTTTCACCTTGTAAAGCTCAGCTCCTTGTTGTCAAACACCTTGGAATGTTTTTCACATGTGGATCTCAAGTACCTGTGATTTTGCATGGAAACTAGGAGGCTGAGGGAATCCCCTCATCCTTAATCTTGTGATATTAGTATTTTCTTCATCTTACTACTGCTTTCATTTGCTTTATAAATTGTACTCATGTGCAGTCTTTTCCCTTCTAGAGTGCTTTCACATATTCTTAAGTTATTCTTTAAGGAATAAACATGGGAAATAATTCTTCCAGCCTTGTGTATCATAAAAGCAGTATCTGGAAGTTATGTTAAAGACTATGCTAATGGTTCTTTATGACAGGTATCAGGGACCACAATAAAGGAAGTGCTTTTCTAAGTCAAATCTTACAGAGGCATGACTGCAAAGTTACACTCCAGCACTAGGGAAGCTGAGGCCTGCCTCAGTTGAGGACAGCAAGTTTGAAGCCAGTCTGGGTTACTTGGCCAGACTTCAGTTTCAAAAGAAAACCCAGACAAAGAACAACAATAAAGTTTACCTAAGATTGACTCTGTATAATAGCATCAGCTCCACTGGCCTTCTCAGTGAAACTGGTGGAACTTATTTAAAAAATGACAAGCACTGAAAACCTCTGGAAATGGTCCTAAAGGTAAATAGTAATCAAGAAATTCAGAAAGGTGGTATTCCCTCCAAACCTGGCTCCAAAATGCTGCAGCCAAGAACATAGGGCTTCCTCTTCTATCAGATCCAAGCCCAAGACTTCAGAATTCCTCATCTGCCCCCACCCCTCACACATCAATGAGGCTGTCTCAGGTATCATCAAAGGCAGGGAGCTTGGCCTGGTGCAGTGGCTCAAACTCAAGTGGCAGAGATTAGAGAATCTCAGTTCAAGGCCAGCCTAGGCAAAAGTTTGTGAGACCCCCCCAACAATCGCAAGCAATAGCTGGATGTATTGGTGCATGCCTGTCATCCCAGCCACGAGAGAAGCACAAATAAGAAGATAGAAGTCCACGCCAGTCCAGGCATAAAGAGAGACCAGATCTCAAAACATAACTAAAACAAAAGGGGCTGGAGGTGAGGCTCAAGTGATGGACTGGAGTGCCTGCTTTTTAAGAACGAGGTCCTGAATCTGAAACCCATGGAGGGCAGTTGTAGAGAATGGCAGGCATAGGTACCGTGTCCAACTAATGGTTAAGATAGGGGTCTTACAAACTGTGCCTAATCTGGTCTCGAACCTTGATCTTTCTGATCTCAGCTCCCCAAGTAGCTAGGTGAAAGGCATGAGCCATGGGTCTGGATAACTTTTAAATCTGTAAATACAAACTATCCCATGCTGCTGGGGGTGAGGTTCAAGGGGCAGAGCATCTGCCTAGTCAGCACCAGGCTCTGAGTTCACATGACAGTATCTTGGTGTGTGCTGCTAGTTGCTACCTCAGAAGGTTCTGTGCAGTGGCGCAGGGAGGCCATGGGGACACCCTGAAACCATGAACCGAGAAATAGTGAGTACGGCAACTCAGCGTCCGGAGGCCCTCCTTCTTTCCTGTCCACAACCACTCCCCCACAAACACTCTGCCCACAGTCCTGTGTGGGAGGCTGGGCACCAGCAACCCCACATCCCCCAGACTGCAGACCAAGCCAGGTCGTGGAAGACTCGGCCCTGTGGGGCTCGACTGGAAAGAATGGAGTTCCTGGGGTCTTGGCCCCCTCCTTGCTCGCCAAGCAGGTCTTGTTTCCTCTGAAGTTTTCCCAATATATAGAAAGCAGGGTCTCAAATCCATAAGCCTGTGCCCCAGTCTAGCTCTTCCTAGGGCTGCCAATAAATTTCCAAAAAAAAAAAAAAAGTACCAACCTCTTCCCCATCCCACCACGAAAAAAAAATATATATATATATCCTGGGTTCATGGATCAAAGGAGTAGTTAACACTGCTGTGATGACAGTACCCACGTAACTAATGTTCAATAGCACCCCTCTCAGAATACCAGCTGATTTGTAGAAATTAGCCAAGCACAGTGGCTCAAGCCTGTAATCCTAGCTACTTGGGAGGCAGAGATCAAAAGGATGTGGTTCAGACCTGCTCAGGAATAAAAACAAGACTCTCAAAAATAACCACAGAAAAAGGGATGGGAACACAGCTCAAGTGGCAGAGTGCCTGTCCAGCAAGCATGAGGGCCTCAATTAAAAACCCAGTAAATAAATAACTAAACAAAATGCATATGGAATTGCAATGGACCAGAATAGAAAAAAACAAACCTGAAAAAGAACATTCCTTGACCTCAGACTTGCTACAAAGCAACAGTAATAAAGTTCAGTATTGGTATAACAACAGATCAGTGAACCAGAATTGAGAGTCCAGAGATAAATCCATAAATGTGACTAAACGATTTTTGACAATGATGCTAATACCAATGAGGAAAAAAGTCTTTTCAGCAAATGGCAACAGGACAACTGGCTATCCATAAACAAAACAATGAAGATGGACTTTTACTTCACACCAGATATAAAAATTAACTCAAAAGGAATCAAATACTTAAATAATGGATAGAACTATATAATGCTGAGAAGGAAACAATACTGAAAAGAACTCAGGGCTCTACCACTTGAGCCATGCATGCCCCCAGTCATAAGTCTTGTATCAACTTGGATGAGGCAAGATTTCTTAGATATGACACAAAAACTCAACAAGAAAAGCAAAAATTTTTTTCTTTTTTTCTTACAGTACTGGGATTTGAACCTAAGGCCAACACCTTAAGCCACTCCATCAACCCTTTTTTTGTGATGGGTTTTTTCAAGATAGGGTCTTGCACACTATTTGCCCGGGACTGGCTTCAAACCTCCTAATCTCTGCCTCCTGAGTAGCTAGGATTACAGGCATAGCCACCAGCATCCAGCAAAAAGCAAAAAAAAATTTTAATGAAACTTTTAAAAATTAAAAAAAAGTTCATTCTTCAAAAAGAACACTATCAATAAAATGAAAAGACAACCTAAAAAATGGGGAGAAAATATTTGCAAACCTACATATCTGATAAGGAACTTGTATGCCATTTAAAGAACTCTTACAATAATAAAACAAGAGAAGTCTGTAATCACAGCACTATGGGAGGATGAGGCAGGATTGAGGCCAGCCTGGACCACATGGCAAAACCATGTATGTGAAAGACATACAGAGAAGGGGGGGTAGGGGGAGGAGGAGGAGGAGGAGGGAAGGAGGGAAGGAGGGAGAGAGACAGAGACAGAGACAGAGAGGGAGAGAGAACGAGAACACCCACCTGAAAATGAGGCAAAAAATCTGAACAGACATTTCTCAAAGACAATAAACAAATGGTCAATAAGCACATGAAGAGCTGTTCAACATCATTAAACATCAAACCCACTAGAATGGCTAGAATCAAAAAAGACTGGAGGCATGGCTCAAGTGGTAAAGTACAGCATGAAGCTCTGAGTTCAAACCCCAGTACCAAGGGAGGAGGGACAGAGAATAAGAAATAATGGCAAAAATGCAGGAAAGCTGGAATCCTCACACACCACTGCTGGGAATGTAAAACAGTGCAGCCACGTTCAGAAACAATGAGGCAGTTCCTCAAACAATAAAACAAAACTACTATTTGATTCAAAATTTTCACTTCTATGTATATGCCCAATAGAAGTGAATACATACACAAAAATGTGGACTCAAATGCATACAGCAACATTAGTCACAAAAGCTACAAGAAACAACCTAAATGTCTGTCAACCAAACAAGGATTAACTAAATATGGTATATCCATGAAATGGGAGCTTTATTCAATCATAAAAACAATTAGATCAGTACTAATACGTGATACCATGGACACGAACCTTGAAAACATTTTGCTAAAGTAAAAGTAATCATATACCAAATGTCTCCATTCCTATGAAAATCTAGAATAGGGATGTCTAGGACACACAGAAAAAAAAAATTAGTGATTGCTTAGAGCTAAGGAGGGCAGTAGAGGCTTGACAGCAGTGAAAGCTAATAGACATGACATTTCTTCTTTGGGTGATAAAAATGTTCTAAAACTGTGCTGATGGTGTACTTATCTGGGAACATACTAAAAAGCCAGTGAATTACGTATTTTAAATGGATGAACTGTAGTATGGAATGTGAATTATATCTCAATAAGGCTGTTTAAAAAGTCACTGGTTTTGTGTTAGCATTAATTTGCATTCCTATTACATCAGAGTACATTAAGTATTTCTTTCACTGTGTCCTTAAAGCATTCTTTTAAAATTATAATTAGTACACTATAGCAGGGAGCTTCACAGAGTGATACCTGCGAAGCTGGAAAGAAAATAAAGTGAAACTGTGGAGAAGAAATAGAATAAAATCATACATTCCCTATGACATGAATCCTTAACAGAATCTCAATGATACAACAGAAGAAAGTTTTAAAATGAAAACAAGTGCTTTTATTTACATAAGAAAGCTACAATTATTTAAAATGAATATTTATGTTTAATTTTTTAAATATTCCATACCTTTTTTGGGGGGAGGGGAGAGTGCTGGTGATCAAACCTATTCTACCACTAAGTTACATCCCCAGCATGAATTATACTGAATGTAACCATTATGAGGCACAAAAAACCCATCACAAAAAAGGGGCTCAAGGTATAGACCCAGAGTTCAACCGTTATCCCTCTTGGATAGCAATAAAACCATATGACATATTTTAACTTCCCAAAGGAAATGGCAAGTGTGTAATGAAGATGAGAAGACGAAAGAGCCTATTTTTTAGGGATGGAGGTGTGATTCAAGTGGCAGAGAGCCTGCTTAGCAAGAGTGAGGCCCTGAGTTCAAACACCATTAAAAGAAAAAGAAAAAAGAAAACAAGCTGGGTGTCGGTGGCTCATACCTGTAATACTAATTATTCTGGAGGTAGAGATCAGGAGGATTGCAATTCGAAGCCAGCCCTGGGCAAACAGTTCAGAGAACTTATTTCAAAAAACCCGTCACAAAAAAGGGGCTCAAGGTGTAGACCCAGAGTTCAAGCCCCAGTACCGCGAAAATAAATAAATAAATAAGCAAACAAAAAAACCCTATTTTGTTTTATTAGCAATCACAAATAATGAAAAAGCTGTATAGAGTGATGTACACTGTAGTG